ATATTTTGGCTATAAAAATTGTTGTATATAAAATGGATGGTGGAGGTGAGAAAAGAAATATATTTTTTATAATTTTTGCACCCGCCGTGGTTGTGAACCTTTAGTGCCTACGTACCACCTTTCGTGCAATAGGGGATCAAGGTACACGTAGTTCCTCTTTCAAAAATTTAAAACCCAAATGTGTTGGTTAATTTTATGAGATAAAACATCATCGTCATTGTCCGTGTGGAAAACATACATACTACCCATAATCATGAGAAAGGAGAATTTGCATCATCTCAAAGTGGAGGATATGGCTTGTACTTTAAAATCAACAATGCCTCACTCAACACCCAAGTGGAAAATATCTCTCTTCACTACATATTGTAGAAGTATAGTTGTTTGCATCACTATAAGGATTGACAAGAGTTCAGTCTTTTAATAAAAGTTTTAAAAGGTAAAAAGCTAAAGTGGCAAAATGGTTTGAAATGAGATTGATTGAATTTTAGTCTTCTTAGAAAAAGGTCAAGGTATTATTAAATTGATTAGGGTTTATTTATGAAAATTGAAAATGCATGGACATAAGTCCAACTTTATTATGAAAATGGTCCAAGTAAAAAACAAGAATGGTTTTCAAAAGGAGAGAGAATATTTTTAAAGAAGATGAAGGAATTATCCTGAAGCAAGAAGGCAAAAGCTATTCTGATGCTTGTGCTTGTATTGACCTCCTAAAGTCTAATCAACATAAGACGATCAAAAAAGGGAGATTAGTCGTCTCATGGCATTTCAACGCAAGATAATCCTTAATTTCAAGCATCTTATTTGATCAATATTACACAAAGAAAACACATAAAACATGATGTGTAAATTTGATTTAAAAGAAATTAAAAGTATGAAGAAATAATAGGAATAAAATCTAATTAAATCCTGAAATACTTATAAAGCGCGTGTGGATCTGTCTAACACTGGATCTGAAAGGAAAATATGAGAAAAATGCAAAAAACTGGGGATCGAACCCAGGTTTATAAGCTTTATACACACGTGTTTTACCACTAGGCCAAGTCTGTTCATTCGTTAGTACAAGGTGATGATAATATTATATACGAAATCAGTTATTATTTTCATTTCTTTCAAACGCACGCGCAATCAGATTTGTATTGACAAACCATGTTGCAACAAAATGTCATGCATGCCCCTTGCCGGAGTCAACCTTTTTTAGGGATGCCAGAGTCAAACTTCGGCCATCCTCTCTAACCAAAAAAAATCATGAACTTGCAAAAAAGAGAGATTCGTGGCAAAAGCTTAGGCTACCTCCCTAAATTGGGGTATGTGAATTCAGTGGTAGTGGAAGTTTGGCTCGAATGTGTTTGTGCTCAGAGATACGAAGCAAACAGCTCCTTGTGCCCTAACAATGGTGCAATCTAATTCCTGCATAAAATCTTGCATGTAACACGTTGATCATGCTCAAATGATGTGTATGAATTGACTCTAGAGGTTAGTATCCATTGAAACTGTATAGAATGAAAGATCTGATTCTTACCAAAACTTACCAGCCGACGATTCTACGTGGGATGTTTTGGGGTGTTCGAGAGCAAGCTAGGAGTATGGATGCCTCCTTGGAACCACCAGGAAGACAATATGAGGATTGGTTTGGCCTGGAAGCAACTGGATCATATGCTGTGAGTTTTCATAACTTTTGGATTTTTTGTGAAATTTTATATGGTTCTTTGTGGCAGTTTTCACGTGATTCTTTCTAGGCTGTGTATTCATTTTTTAGGCTTGCAAATGTCACCTTTATATAGAGAAGATGGAAAGGACAAGGTAGGAGGGAAATAAGCATGCTCAATAATGTTCTTTAAGAGCCATAAACAAATATTTGAAACTTGGCCAAAGGTATGGAATTCTTGTCTCTTTTTTGAATTTGAATGAATGTGGACACAAATGGATTTCGAATGCCTTCAGTCCCTGCCATTCAATTGGACCTCTTGTATATCCTTCGAATGGGTCTTTTGAATGTTTTTCAAATAGTCCATATGTATGCTATGTGCCCTCTTCGAATAGGCCACCAAGGTGTGTCCTTTGAATGGCTCAAGTCTCATCATTGGGGCCTCTTCGATTGAGCCCCTACTGAGCTAGCTGCTTGATTTAAACAACTCAAACGAAAATGTTAATCTGGCCAATCGAAAACCTTCTTTGTCACTACCTTCGAGTGCCATTGCACAAGAGGCTTGGGCCTGGCCCCATGTAGGACCAAAACGCACCACAAAGCAAACTTGTTTTCAATAATCATGTGTCCTTCAAATGGACCAATGAATGCTTCTTCGAAGGGACCACGTGAATGCACCTTTGAAGGGACTATCATGCTTATTGAAATGTGTACAACTATTTCAAAGGGGACCATTGCCCAGTCGAAGCTGGCACAAAGGTAGCCCATGCCTTGTGGATGCTAGCATGAGACTGGTCAAAGAAAGCTTAAAAGAGGCCATTACCTAGGAGAAGCTGGCAGAAAGGTAGCCAATGCCTTGTGGGTCGAAGGAAACTTTTTTCCTGGTGGTTTGAAGGCAAATCGGAAAGAGTCTTGGCCTAGTGTGCTGAAGGCAAGCTGAAGAGGGGGCCTTTTACTTGTGAATCGAAGACCAATGAGATGGGCCTTTTTCCTTGTAGATCAAATACAAGCTGATGGGTTTTTGCCTTATGAAACCAAGGCAAGCATGAAGAAGCTTTTTGCCTAATAGACCAAAAACAAGCATGAAGAGGCATACGTGTGCTGATGAAAAACTGAAGGGGCCTTTTGCCCAGTGGGAGCTTTGTGAACTAAGCTTGATCGGAGGATACTTAGTTCCTAATCAAAGCTGGTATGCAGGAGTTCATTGCTGGTGAATCAAAATAAACTTGTAGGGAATTCTTGCTTTGTGCACTGAAGGAAAACCTAAAGAAGTCTTGCCTAGTACGCTGAAGGAAAGTTGAAGAGGAGGTTTGTGCCTTATGCGTTGAAGGAAATCACAGAGATGGCCCTGTTGGAATGATACTTGTGGAGCAAAGCTTGCTCCAATGGGTCTTTTAGATGTCTAATCAAAGCTTGTCTGCAGGGGACTACTATTTTGTGGATCGAAGTAGGCATGAAGGAAGTTCTTGCCTTATGAATCAAAGGCAAGCATGAAGCAACCAATACGTAGTCGAAATATTGTGATTTGAACTTGATCGAAGGGGGGCCATCACCCAATCGATGCTTGTGACTCAGGCTTGTGTCAAAGGAAGTTCAACTCCCAATCGAAGCCATTGGAATGGCTATAATTTATACAAATCAAAATCAAAATCGCCACTGCGCTTTTTTGTTTCCAAAGGTATGGGAAAAGAGCGAATAACCCAAAAAAAGAGGGGGAAAGATTCAAGGTAAGGGGGTTGGTTATGCAAAGGGAAGGTATTAACACCCTAAACATCTACGGTACTCCGCAGGAGCCTCTTTGTAAAATATGTATATTTTGGCTATAAAAATTGTTGTATATAAAATGGATGGTGGAGGTGAGAAAAGAAATATATTTTTTATGATTTTTGCACCCGCCGTGGTTGTGAACCTTTAGTTCCTACGTACCACCTTTCGTGCAATAGGGGATCAGGGTACACGTAGTTCCTCTTTCAAAAATTTAAAACCCAAATGTGTTGGTCAATTTTATGAGATAAAACATCATCGTCATTGTCCGTGTGGAAAACATACATACTACCCATAATCATGAGAAAGGAGAATTTGCATCATCTCAAAGTGGAGGATATGGCTTGGACTTTAAAATCAACAATGCCTCACTCAACACCCAAGTGGAAAATATCTCTCTTCACTACATATTGTAGAAGTATAGTTGTTTGCATCACTATAAGGATTGACAAGAGTTCAGTCTTTTAATAAAAGTTTTAAAAGGTAAAAAGCTAAAGTGGCAAAATGGTTTGAAATGAGATTGATTGAATTTTAGTCTTCTCATAAAAAGGTCAAGGTATTATTAAATTTATTAGGGTTTATTTATGAAAATTGAAAATGCATGGACATAAGTCCAACTTTATTATGAAAATGGTCCAAGTAAAAAACAAGAATGGTTTTCAAAAGGAGAGAGAAGATTTTTAAAGAAGATGAAGGAATTATCCTGAAGCAAGAAGGCAAAAGCTATTCTGATGCTTGTTCTTGTATTGACCTCCTAAAGTCTAATCAACATAAGACGATCAAAAAAGGGAGATTAATCGTCTCATGGCATTTCAACGCAAGATAATCCTTAATTTCAAGCATCTTATTTGATCAATATTACACAAAGAAAACACATAAAACATGATGTGTAAATTTGATTTAAAAGAAATTAAAAGTATGAAGAAATAATAGGAATAAAATCTAATTAAATCCTGAAATACTTATAAAAGCCTAAAGTATTTATTTATTTTTTTATATCTCTTTTTATTATTTACTATTATTATTTTAATACCTAGAATCGATAAAAGAAATTAAAACTAAGACAATTAAAATGGAAGATAGAAATTAGAAGAAAGAAAAATAGAGGGAGGTGCGAAATTGGAACCTTGGGGTATGGTGTAGAATCTCAGGCGCTAGGCCAAAGTCTTGATCCAGGATGGTTATTTTTTGTCCAATACCTTCAGGCTCCAAAAACAATGGTAATGGGCAGAAGAAAAAAAAGTATGAGGCAGGCCCAATGAATTCTTCATTTTGGCCCAAAGACAAATATAAACTTAAACCAAATCAATTTTACAAATTTCAGTATAATAATTTTTTATGTAAAAATTTTATTAAGTAAAACAAATTAAAAAATGTCGTTTAAGAGAAAAGGGGTAGGATTAAAAGATTTGTGTCAGATCAAATTCCTACTTCCTCAGATTTACAGCGCCGCGACTGCTTTCTACTTTGCACGGATTAATACAGCGCCGCCATCATCATCAACTCCGTCTCAAGTCATCGAGTTCGACCATTGTGAATTGTCCTCATCTTCTTCTCTCAAGAGATTCCTCTACCGTACCACCGCAAAATAATGAACGATCACACCTTGTGTTGCTCGGCATCCCTCTTTGTTCATCTTTTGTGGCGACCTCGGTGTATTCTTCACAACACCTTAACTCCTTCACGTCTCAGTATCAACATCCTACCTCTCGTCTTAGTCGCGTCCCCTTCTTCCTCTCAATCTCAATTCAATTTCAGAGAACAACATCCTCATCATCTCATCGAAAATCGGTTCAAACGAAAACACATACATATTCAAAAACAAAACTATAAAGCATACAGAAAGAAGATGCAAGATCAGTTTTTATGTGATATGATGATAAATAGTGAAAGGAAGTTAAGCCTACCGATCAGAGATGCTCCGATGGCGCTTCGAAGTTGCTTATATCAAAACCAGAAATCCACAGGTATTTCGATATTCTCTTCTCCTTTTGCGTTTTGTGCTTTTTTGCATGGATGTGTTGTTGTTCTGCGATGATGTTTTCACATTTAAAGTTGAAAATGATGCATTGATGTCATTGCTGATGATGTGAGATGAAGAAATTTGTTGCTATTCTTGATGCGATATAGAGAGCACTTAGACGAATCTTTAGGAAATTTTCATAGAAAAAACGAGAAGATCAAGTTTCAAAACTCTCAGAGTTTTTGTGAATGAATTATTCTCTTTGTGAAAATGATTGATCCGGTGATGAAACTATTGCTTGTTGTAGATAAATATTGATGTTGTAGTGTGTGATGATTGGAGGCGCAGAGGAATTGTAGAGGAATTTTGCAGAGGAAGCTTCTGAGATCAAGATTGGCCAAGAAATTGCAAGGAATTTTGGTTCTTCATAGAAACTTTTTTTTGTTGCTGAAATCAATCGTGTTTTTCTTCCTCTCCCCCCCCCCCCCCCCCCATATTGAAACAGAAGCTCATATTTATAACTGTTGGCTTAGCTTCTCTGAGAAGTTTTCTATAAGTAAAAACATCCCATCCCTTGATTTTAAAAATCTGTTATAACAAATGAATGGTTGGTATTGAATCTCATTTCTTATTTCTAATTCTGTTATGAAGCTTGTTAGAGAAGTTTTTTAAACATGTTGAGCTGTAACATATGACATCAACCTTGCTATGGAACTCTCCTTCTGTATTTTTAATTCCATACTTATTTTCCTCTGCACTTTCTGCTTTCAGTATTTTTTGTATATATAATGTTTTTTTTGATTTTCCTGCTGCCATAAAAACTTATGCAGAGCTGATTTCAAGAAGATATTTTGAACAAAATTGCAACCATTTTAGAGCTATTTTGGTTCAACATGGCACAAGCAAAAATGATGGCAATTTTGGACAGTTTTTTTTCTTACATTGCAGGTTGCAGTTTCCAGCGATGCAGTGCAGGGCTGATTTTGTGTCGTTTCTTCATGGTGTAGGCATTGGCCATTTGAAAGAAAGAAGATGACTTATGGTATGAGAGTGACAGTTAGGCTAAGCAAAATGGACACCCTATTTGGATTTGTGAAGCTTAAAGATAGGTAAAAAAACATTGAATGGATGTTTGATCTTAAATTTGGAATGATAAATGTTTTTGTATTTTTGAAACTTTGAATTGCATAGAAATTTGAAGCTTTAACTACTATTGGATGAATCTTGAATTAGAAGAATTGAAATATATGAATAATTGGTCTTTCGGATTTCAAATTTTGAATTTGTTTTGAATCATATGAATCTATAAACAACACATGTAGCGCATGCCATTGAAAAATAAGGCAACTATGGCTCGGTCCACAACAATTCCACTCTTGAGAATATCTTCATCCTTACCTTGAGACCCCACATTCTACTTTGATTGAACTTTGTAATACCTTTTAATTGTTGGGTTTTTAAACATGCTAAACATGGATGAAACATTGAAATGGTGAATGTATCTTGGTTTGAAACCAACAAATAAATCAAGTGAGATAATAATGCCTTGATCACAAACAATTCACAACTTCATTTCTTGTACTATGATTCATGTTTCGCAATTTAATCCACAAAACCGTCCTAGCTTGATAACCATTAATCTTGAAACAAAATCAATGTCTTGAGGAATGACTTAAAGATGAATGATAGGACTTGAAGTATGAAGTCCAATGAATTTCAATTGAAATGTTGACAAACTCCAGCATGATAAGATGTAAACCCTAGCCTAATGAACTTTGTTGAAGAATCATTATCAATGCTCAAGCAAGATAGGAGAACCCTAATGCATTTTATTTGAGTGTACATTTATGAAGAAAGCTCGAGACACCGAGAGGAATAAAACCTAGCTTAAAGACATTCACAGTGAATTCATGATAAAGTCTTGAGTACATAAGTCAAATCCTAATGCACTGGTTTCTTGAAGAAATTCAGATGAAGAAAAACATGTATCTCGAGGAACCTTGCCAAGGAAAATGCTTATGATGCTTGTGGATCCAAAACTATGGTTTCGTACCAAGATAGATAAATGAAACGGTGGAATCAACTTGAGAGAGATAGTAACCTCAATTCATTAGGGGAAAACCCTAACATCAAGAGCCATTTGAGCCCATGTTTTAATACCTCAAATGAATGAATGATTTATGATGTAAATGCATATGATGTTATGAATGAACAGATTAGGGGCAAAAATGGGGTATGACAGCTTCCCCTATTTAAGTGTATTCTATCCGGAGATACGAAGGTTAAAAATCTTCGTGTCGATGCGATCGAAGATACTTAAATATAAAACAAACCCTATTTTGGCCCCTAAGATGCCATGCAATGGTTATGATCATGAATGCATATGAACAAATTCAAAGAGACATAAAACACCGTTGGGGATGTTGTAAAGGAAATAAGGATCAAAATAGAAACCCATACCAGGAAAATAAATCACTGGTGAATCAAGAAGACCTGACTCATAGAGAATGGTAAAAGGTCAAGGGATACACCAACTTTTACTGAAGATGAGACTACCAACGTTCACTGAAGGTAGAAAGAGAAAAGAGATAATGATTCCAACATTCACTGACGGTGAGCTACCAACATTTACTGAAGGTAGAGATAAAATAAATATCATAGCACTGCCGTTCACTGACAGTGAACTACCAACGTTCACTGAAGGTAGCAAACTGATAATAAACACCAACTTTCACTGATGGTGATCTACCAACTTTCACTGAAGGTAGAAATAGAATATATCATGTCATCACTGTTCACTGACGATGAACTACCAACGTTCATTAAAGGTAGCAAAAAGATAACAAACATCGACGTTCACTGCTGATGATCTACCAACTTTCACTGAAGGTAGAAATAGAATATATCATAGCACCGCCGTTCACTGATGATGAACTACCAACGTTCACTGAGGGTAGCAAAAATATAACAATCATCAATGTTCACTGCCGATGTCCTACCAACTTTCACTGAAGGTAGAAAGAGAAATATATCATAGCACCGCCTTTCACTGACGATGAACTACCAACATTCACTGAAGGTAGCAAAAAGATAATAAACATCGATGTTCACTGCCGATGTCCTACCAACTTTCACTGAAGGTAGAAAGAGAAATATATCATAGCACCGCCGTTCACTGACGATGAACTACCAACGTTCACTGAAGGTAGCAAAAAGATAACAAACATCGACGTTCACTGTCGATGATATACCAACTTTCACTGAAGGTAGAAAGAGAATATATCATAGCATCGCCGTTCACTGACGATGAACTACCAACATTCACTGAGGGTAGCAAAAAGATAACAAACATCGACGTTCACTGCCGATGATCTACCAACTTTCACTGAAGGTAGGAAGATAATATATCATAGCACCATCGTTCACTGACGATGAACTACCAACATTCACTGAAGGTATCAAAAAGATAACAAGTTTCCCCAGAATTCTGGTGTTTCACCTAGAACGGGTCTCAACTTCTTCTTTAACTGAGGCACTCCGTCTGGAAAGGATAATATGGAAAGGATAATGAAAGTATTTCCATCCATTGGCGTAATCTGACGACAAACTGCAAACTATTCACTCATAGAGGAGATAGCAAAAAAAAGTTATGTCGACTTTTACAGGGAAGCACAAGTTCCTCAAATAAAGTGACCTGCTACTTGTTGCCATAGAAGATTGTAAAAAGAAATGACTTTCTGGGGAGAACATTATGGCTTCCTGGGGAATGAAATATGACTTCCTGGAGAAACACCACGATATTCCTGCTGAGGAGATAAAGTCTTCTCGTGCAAAATAAATGCACAAACCAAAACTCGAAGCTTTCATAAATCTAAAGTAATAATATTGCTGGTGTGATCGGTGGGAATGAGAACTGACTGTTTTGGAATGCTGGTTCGCGTTTGCGTTTGTTTTCGCAAAATGTCGCAGTAAGCAAGAGTCGCCACCATCTTTTATTTTATCCAACAAGGAAAGGACAAAAGCACGGAAAAATTCCTTTTCGAGATGTTTCTCGGGTTCGGGAGGTAGATTATAGAAAGGGAAGGTATTAGCACCCTTTCTATCCGTGGTTATCCACGGGCTCTTAGGTACTTGCTCACTATGTTTTCAAAAGTTTGCTTTTCTTTGTGTTTGTGGGTTTTGAAAAGAGTTTTTAGTTTGAAAGAGAGTGTAAGTGCAGAAAGTTTTGTTTTGTTTTAAAAGGAGCAAGTAATTAAGAACCTCTACCTACTCAAAAAGGAATTAAACTGTGCAAATGTCCTTTAGACAATGCTATCCCACTATTGAGGAGTAGATAGCATCGTCGTTGGAGTTTTCGGGTCAATTCGATTTTAGGGATGTGTGGTCACTAAAGCAATGTTAGGATGCCTTAGCGGTAATCCTAATGTCTTAGATCATTTTATCCGAGGCAACTTATGATCTTTGGACAAGAGGGCGACCTCTAAAACTTCCTATACTCAATGACCGCGTTCGAGGCAACCAAGTGAGGCGTACCCTAGGAGTGGCATGTGCAAGTGTGTCAATTTTCAGTTATATTATCTTTACATGTCATGGTGAGCTACTTTTGATTTTAGGTTAAGATAGATCTTGTCATGCATGGCCTATTATTCATACATCTAGCAGTTAATGGTTGCGGAAAATAAATTGCGGAAAATAAATCTAAGCTATTACAAGGCATCGGGTATTTACATCGCCAAAAACAAACCCTTAAAATTAAATGCGAAAAAGTAAATAAAAGCGGTAAATAAAATCCTAAGTTAAAGCTATTACATCCTCGAAGCAATTACAATTATGGATCAAAAATAATACGCGCGAGAAAATTGAATCGGAATGTCCTTTAGGGTTTTGACCCTTTTATTGAATAAAACATATTTTTGGTCTTTTTTGATTTAAGAATTAAGTCTAAATAATGATTAATTAATTAAAAAAGAAAATATTTTTCGAGTTTTATTTTAATTAAGGAAATAAAATTAGAAAGGTAAAAATATACCAAAACCCTAATTCTAAATCAATTTTTATTTATTGCAAAAAATGTT